GTGGGTTTGCACTAGTTGATCTCCCAGTAAGGACGCTTACACAGGACGCCTGTAAGCGTCCTCTGTATTTACACATTTGTATTCCTGCCAGTGATGGCAAGTGTGTTCAGTTGAGTATGAAAAAGCTTTTTCGACTGGTGCTTTGCCCCCGCCATCACTTCTTTTCCATCTCCTTCTTCTCAATCTTTCTGTGGATGCAGTTCAAGCCGGGCCTTAAGGTATCCCCCAACGCCTCCACCATCACCATGTCCCCCCTCACCCCACCCCCCTGTGGTTCTGGGTTGGTATCGACCGTGGTAATTGATCCCTCTGGGCCCTCCAGCCACATCCAACAGTGAGTTGAACAGAATCACCACTAAGAAGACAGCTGCTTGGCCACCACAGACAGGCCAAAAGAAAGAGAGAAAGAGAAAGAAACTCTGTTGCTGCTAACCATTAGCTCTGTCTGCCAACTTCCTTCTGGAGGGAGCCAAGTCAGCACATTGCATTGGCTTGGAGAATACTAAATCCTCCATTTTGGGAAGCTGGGAATAATGTTGGGACTATAAACAGTGAGAGGCAAGAGGAACTGACTTAAAGAACAAGAAAGTCTCTCTTTCTCTGTTCTTATCAACTCCCTGTGAGCTTGTGGGATTGATCTGACCCACTGTTGCCTAAACCCAAAGCCTCTGCTGCCCAGTGAAAGATTACCTGTTTTATTTCATTCTGAATTTCAACCCTGCTCCTTTTTCTATAGTTTCCAACATTTCCATGTGGCCAAAAGTGGAAACTGATTCCATGAAGCGCAGCGTGATAGCTGGCTTATGTTTGCACTCCAAACAGTTTCAAGTCCCAAGAGGTGCAGGTGTATTCCGAAATGAAGGAAACAACAAACGCACTCATGCAAGGACAAAACATGGGCACACTCACACCCAAGTCAAGTATAGTGTATTACCTCTGATCTCAGAAAAGCATGTTTCTCCTTTTCAAACAGTGAAAGAGAAACTTATTCATGTTTTCAGCTTTGAGGCAAAGCATTTACCAAATAAGGCTATGGGAGAATTTTGTTCTTTTTTAAACTGTCAAGATAAGCAGTTGTTACTGGAGATTACTGAAAGCAGTGTAAGCTTCATCAGTCCTCTCAGTGAGATATTACCTGTGAAAGCTTTAACCTGCTTGAACTGCCAATATCTTCTTAACTAAGGGTGCTATAATATACCTGCTGGTTAATTAAATTCTGTTAACTGTGGAATCTTCAAGGTGAGCTGTCACAATCTCGGTATCTTGAAAATGGACATGACAAGCTGAAATGGTGTTATTTTCAAAAAAATTTGCAACTAATTCCATGAATTTATCAGAGAAATGTTTAATGAGGTTGCAGATCCAGTAAGCCGGTAGTCTTTTTGCCAACAGTACAAGAAAAATTAAAAACGTGGCCCCCTGCTGCCCATTAGAAATGATGCAGATTTAGGTTATCAGGGCCAAGCAGTACATCCATTGTTAACGTATGTCATGTCAGAGTCCCTGGCAACTCAAAGAAATGCACAATCTTGCAATTAGTGTTTTATCATGTCTTCCTCCCCACACCCCTGATAGATGGCTGCCCCTCCCTGAGCCTGGTTCTGTTGGACGTTTCTTTGTGGTAAAAGGGAGTTTTTCCTTTCCACTCTCGCCAAGTGTTTGCTCAGAGAGGATCAGTGTCGTTTGATTGTTGGGATTTTTTCTGTATTATTGTAGGGTCTTCACCTTACAATAAAAAACATATTGAGGTATCTGTTATATAAATAAAATGGTAAATGGCCTGTATTTATATAGCGCTTTTACTAGTCCCTAAGGACCCCAAAGCACTTTACATATCCAGTCATCCACCCATTCACACACTGGTGATGGCAGCTACATTGTAGCCGCAGCCACCCTGGGGCGCACTGACAGAGGCGAGGCTGCCGGACACTGGCGCCACCGGGCCCTCTGACCACCACCAGTAGGCAACGGGTGAAGTGTCTTGCCCAAGGACACAACGACCGAGACTGTCTGAGCCGGGGCTCGAACCGGCAACCTTCCGATTACAAGGCGAACTCCCAACTCTTGAGCCACGATCGCCCCAATGGTATTGAATGGAATTGAACACGTCTCTTTACAAAAGAAAAATCATCTCACTCAGTTGTATTCTGGACTCTGAATGTAATGTAGTTTTTATAAATTTCTGTTTATGTAGACAACAATATATTTGAAAATTTTGCCAATTTGTCACAGTTAATCACAAACAGATTGCATGTAACTACCAACTTGACCTAATTCATTCCCTGACTGATAGCACTGTTTCTTTAAAGCTGGCATTGGACGGTCACAGACCTGGTCCCCATTTTCAAAGCAATAATTTCAAAGGCACCAAGTTGCAGTAATTTTGGCTGTGTCACAGTCTCCACTCACTGTTTTACAGTGTTGGGACTAACGCGTTATTAAGTAATGCGTTACAGTAACTACGTTATTATTGTGGTAACGAGCACGGTAACTAGTTATTATGCCAAAACCGGGAACGCGTTACTCGTTACTGGGATTTAAATAGGCTCGTTATTCGTTACTTTGTGTGGCGGCATTGCGGAGCTTCCACAGATTCAGTAACATTAGCAAGTGGTGGAGGCCAGCAGGTGGATGAAGGAAAAGGGAGGCAGGAGCAGAGACCCGAAGCGGCCGCTGGTCCGAGAGAGTCAGGTGAACTGAACTTCAGGTAAGAAGTTATAACCTGCAGTCCATCTGGGTCAGATATGAACCAAGTTTAGTTGGAGTTTATTTTCGTTGTGCTGACTTTTTCGTACTGCGTGCTAGCTAGCATGACGAAGTTTCTATACAGATGGGTGGTGCTATGTTACTGATGTTGAACTTTATTTTGTTCATAAGGTTAATTATTAGAGTTGCCAACCGTCCCATAAAAAACAGAATCGTCTTGTATTCAGAGAAAATATCATGCGTTTCGTATTTAGGTGAAAAGGAACAGTTTGTCCTGGATTTCAGCTACAATGAAAAAGACACAAAGCTGGAGTTATTCTGTGTTTACGCTGCACAGCTGCCTCTTCTTCTCTCATCCTCTCACCCTCCCTCCCCTGTTTCTACTTCAATCATGAAACTGATCAATGATCAGCTGATCGGCTTTTCTCTCTTGTTTATTTATCGCCCACTTTGCGCCAGAAAGAGGAAACCAGCAGATGTCGCGCGAAACAACAGCAGCACTTTTAAGCTTGATCAGCTGTTGTTAGAATTTATTTAATATTACTTTCTACTATCAGCTGATGTTTGCTGGAGCCACAGCTGTAAAGCTGCTGGTCATGATGTCGGTTTGGTTATGTGATGAGAGGGAAACATGAAGATGAAACCAGGAGATGTCCTTACTGAATCATCAGAGCTGTGATGGAGAAACAGGTTTACCTTTTAGGTGACATGAATGAGTTGAAGGGAAGTTATGAACTGTTTCTGAGAGACAAATAACACCAGGATACTTTTTTAGGTAGCTGACAGCTGGTAACTGTGCAGGGGCGGATCTAGCAAAGTGTTGCCAGGGGTCCATGTAGGGCATTAAAAGGGAAAGGGGGGCACAAGGAAATACTTTCTTATTCTCATTTAAAATGTCTCACTTTTAAAAAAATAATTATCTGAGTCTTGCAGCAAACAATTGATAAATTGATACATATATACCATCAGAACAGTGTACATCACTGTCACAACAGTGTTTATTTTCATTCAAAGGCTTTATGATTTTTCCTATAATGGCGGCCGGTCTCTAGTCAAAATGCCGGGGCGATTTTTTTGTCCCAGTCCAGCTCTGTATGCAGCTCATCTGCAGTCTGGTGTTACCTACATCTTCCTATTCAGAAGGCAGAATTTCCGAGTTCTGAGTACAATCGAAAGCACCATGACTGCAGTTTTTGTGTTGGATGTAAAAAGCAGGCTAGGATAGAATCAGGTGTGGGATTTCTCTCGTGGAAATGTGCACATTATTTTTTCCTTTCTATTGGTAGGTGGCACAGTGCACTTGTGGCAAGTAAGCAAGCTAGAAGACTGGCAAAGTTATGGAAGCAACACATTAACAAGAGAATTCTGAGTAAAACCAAAGTTACTTTCCCTAGTAACTAGTTACTCTGAAAGTAACGAGTAACTTGAAGTAACTGAGTTACTTTTGATAGAAGTAACTAGTAATGTAACTAAGTTACTAATTTAAAGTAACTTACCCAACACTGCTGTTTTACTCAGTTTTACTCAGTGTAAGGTTTACACACTAAAACTCCAAAATCTACTTGGTTATGTTGCATTTAAATGTGATCCCAGGGGTTGTTTTGTAACCATGCAAGCAATTTCTAACCATTAGATACCACAGGCTTATTTTTAAAAAAGATATTTGATGCCCTTGGAAAAGGAACGAACTTGCATTGCAGGAATAAAACAGTTGTTTACCATAATCACCAGTCTCCTAACTCTGGGACTGTAAGAATTTACACCAGAATAAACAATAATGTATGCAATAGTTTCTGAGATACTTTAATCTAGACTAAAGTGGTGGAAACGCTGCAGCAGGCCTGATACTTATAAATTCCTATCCAGCTTATTATTTTAAGTAAAGGACAACAATTTACAAATTATTTCAGAAAAATGAATCATGAATGAATCAGTGCTTTACATTTATAGCATATTTAAGAAGTCACTGGAGAAACACAGGGCTGTTTTCTATTTTCCTTCCATGTGGGCTACTGTTACGCAGAATCAGACCCTATTCAACTCCCACACTCCTATATTTAACTGGAACACAAGTAACACAGCATCAGTGCCCAGCACATTCACAGAATAGCTCTCCATGTTTAGACAAATCCAAACGGGCACATTTCCGCGACATCTTAAAAAGATAAATTTGGTAATGGTGGTAGTGGTGGTGGCGGTACTGTGACTGTGTCTAAATCTAGAAAAAAACAGAAATAGAAATGAAACTGAGCTTTATAACCATACCGCCTTCCCCTGTCCCTTTCTCCCCTCAGGCTCTATGACGTGACAAGAGTCCCCCTCGACACTCTTGCACTATGGAAAGCATTGATGACCCCTTGACAGACAGCCAATTTCCAGCTACCACCACCACCACCATTACAACAGCTCCGCCCTTACCTTGGCCTCAAAGGCAGGAAGCAACACAAGCAGCTACAGAGCACCAAGAGCCTTGTGAAGGCAGTAAGGTACAAGACAAATCCCTTGAATTAGAATCAAGAAATCCTTAAATGTATGACTAGAGCCTGACTGATATAGGATTTTTGAGACCGATACTGAGACTTGGTGATTAGAAAAAAGATAAAGATCTGATATACTCGTTTATATTTTCATCTTTTTTTCCACATTCACATCATTAAATATAAACAGACACACATATATACACACATTTGTCATATATTTGGTACAGTTATTTATGAGTCCTTAATAAAAATAAAAACTATTATTAGCTGTGCATATTCGATTGAGGAGATTTCTTAAATCAGATGGCCTTCTTAATCCAACCCCATACTGAATGTGTCTCATCCCAGAGTCAAAGTGAGGATCTAATGTGTACAAGCTTAAATATATATCATTTGTACATTATAACTGCCCAATCAACAGCTACAAATGCCGATACCAACGTATCGGCAAATAAAAATATCGGCCGATGTGTCAGTCCTGCTGATATATCTGTCGGGCTCTGTTTTATAACATCTTGTAATGAAGGTAACTTTCCACATGACCTTACAGAGGAGACTGATCTTGCCTGTTGCTCACGGTCAAATGTCTTAAAAGTGTATGAAAGTCATTACAACCAACATTATGAACTCATTACAACACTAAGACCGCATCTTTCAGCTTTAGCAGAACACACAAACAGCAGGAAGCATAGACTCTCATAAATCCTGATACAATTTAAGCGAGCGTCTGCTTGTTTGATATCCTTGTTTGGCTTATGTATTTTACCATAAGCTGACAATTTCCCTGGTGTGTGTTTAACCAGAGAAAATCCATGTGTGCAGCAAACCCCCCTCAGTGTATTCTCAGCCTGCTTTATTGGCATGCCTTGTATATTGTTTTAAAGTCTTGTGTCAGATGGTGGCTGTGCACTTAAATAAAACAAGGCGCCAGACAGACTCTGATATTAATAAATAGTGATCGGGAAATAGAGAGTGGCCATGTAATAAATTTAAGGTACAGCAATATAAAAAAGGGATAAGGCCAAAGTCATAAAAACGGCCACTTTTGTGGAGTCTTTGAGAAACAGGCTCTTCTTTTGGTCAATACTGTCAGTGTTTATGGCCCATGCTATAATTTGCTTTTGAGGGAAAATGTGATCCTGCTGCTTTTCACTCCAGACAGCAAGTCTTCAGTAGATTTGGAGCTATAAATAGAAAAGGGGTGGAATGTGTGTGGTGAACTTGGGTCTCTGGACAGTGCATCAAAGAGATTATTGTCTATTTACTCACAGAAGAGGCCATCTGAGATTGGATTTAAACATTTGATCCTTTAATATATATTCTGAAGGAAGGCGATTCTGCATTGCCTGCAAGCAGCTGATCTCACACAGAGCCACGCAACGCAGTAGCTTTACGAGCAGCTGTAGTCGATGCATAAAAGTATTGAAGAACACGTTGGCAACATTGTCACCAGCCTGATGCCACCGTGGTTAAATCTGTTCTAATACTCCACTCTTGAGCATTAAGTTCTGATCATATTGTAGAATGCAGATAGTGAACTGTGTTTGCTTTGATGTTCTGAAGAAATGCTGTATGAAAGGGCTGATAATGACATAACACATAGCTTTGAACTCTTTCCTAATGTGGAATGGGGCCTAGTGTCTGGAGGCGCATGCATACATGTTCATGTATTTTGATCTCAGCATCTGCTTCAGGCATTATCCAACTTCACAGCATGTAATGAGCAATTTCCCATCCCTTATTAACCTGTGGATCATTCCTAGCCAACAAGTTCACTTATGAATATTCATCTGGAATCATGTTGTGCCGCTCGCCTGCTAAAATCTGAAGAGAGAGCGCGGGCTCAGCTGCACAAGACTTAACGTTAAAGGGTGAGCGCAGAGACGAGCGTTAGAAACGAGCAGGAGATCCAAAAGCAGATGCACTGTGGAACGAGCGAATGTACAAAAACACATCAATTAATCCGCTGGGTCCTCTTGAGATTTTGCATTATTCCCAGCAAACAGCGCCTCGATGAAGAGTGCGGATAGGCAAAGTGGATCAATTTTCTTTCATGTGCACCCACCGACTTGTTCCCTCGTGGGTCACATGGCCGTGACATTTCGAGGAAAGTCAGCAAGAGTTCAGACAGAGAAGAAATGTCAAGCCAGGGCCGTATGTCCAGGTGCATTCGCTTTCAATACTTCCAACTCGCGAAAATGCTTTTATTTAGAGCAGTGCGACGCAAACGAAAGCCACTGCCACATGTATGCACATTCTCATTTTTGTTGCATTAAAGTGCTTCAGCTGTGGCCTCGAGACAGGAAGCAGTCTGTACCGTCCCTGAAATCAAATGTTTTCCGCATCCTCGATCAAAAGCTGCCGGGCGCGTATCGATAAGTATCGAGTGGTTTGTCCGCTTGCTCCATAAGAAGAGAAACGCTGCACAAATTACACATTAACACAGATGGATTCAGTGCACGATGCTCCCTTCTGTTACTATGACACCCCCAGCAGTTATCAGTCTCAATCGAAAGTCCAATTCTCGTTCTTACTCGAAGAGCAAGGCCACCGTCCTAAACGTTTGCCCGGCATGTTCAATAGCCAGAGAACCGCTGCATAATGTTTCCCTCTACAGGTACAGGTCTATACAGGCCAGAACATCCAGACTGGCCAACAGCCTGTATCCACAGGCTGTGAGGCTCCTGAACTCTCTGCCCCCCTCTCACGGACAATAACCATATCCAACTTCTTAATAGCAATGAACTGGTCTGCATTGGTGCATCATATCTTTATTCTCTTCCCCCTCCTGCCCCCCCTCTTTCTTAAATAGATAACTATCATATCTGATATCATATCTCACAGTACAATAATATTGAATGGGTTGCATTGTTGTATTTTGTCATGTTTCACAGGTCTTTGTCTGAATTTCTACGAACATTATTGCTAAGGATTGTCTTATTGCATTGGAGTCACACTGGGTTAAATATGTACACTTGGGTTTTAAGGGGTATTTATTATTTTCTTCTTTTTTTTGGGTTGTATGGAAGCCCCAAACGCAATTTCATTGTTCTTGACAATGACAATAAATAAATAAATACTAAATACTAATACTAATACTACTCTGCACCAGAGTGCTCGCTGTCTGCGTAGCTGCTTCCTGATAAACTCTAAGTAATAATCACCCAAGGCCTGTGAATGTTATTCACGGGGCAGATTCATCTCATATTCGTCTGACATTCGCTGCTGTTTTTAAATGGGAAGGCTTGCGTTTCCCTGAGACGAGATTTGCGCGGGAGATTTATGAGAAGCTGTTCGCAACAGTGTGGCTGTGAAAGAAAAAGAGGGAGCAAAAAACAAAACAAAACATAAAGACGATATTAAAAAACAAAAATCCACCATGGTAGACACACACTATGTGGCTTGAATAAAACAAGACCGTGTCTATATGCTGTGTCTGCTTGAAATCACTTGCATTGTATTTCTTTTCTTCCACATCTTTGTGCGACTAATTTATCCTCCTTCCGTTTTACCTGTGGCTTTTTACTACTGAGCTGTAGTCTCTGTGTGCCCTCTAGGAGGCACAGAGAGAAACTGTGCTTATTATACTAGGATTAAACACCTGTTTTGGCCAGGCATCACAGTCAAGCAGTTAGCAAAGTCATGGCCCTGCTTTAACCAAGTAAACCTTTGGGTCATTCCATGCCCAGCTCCAACAAAACCACGACATTATCTCCATTAAAGCCCGAGCTCACTGAGATGTTTATTATTCCCAGAGCATAAGACATTGTCATCTGTGATACATGCTAGAACCCCGTTCAACACCTGCCCCTTTCATGGTAATTTGCACCCTGTGAAATCATCAAGAGTTCATTATTATGAATTAAGCTTCAGTGGCAATGTCTTGGAAGGCATCAGCACCTCTATCAAGTTGGCTGTGTGACTGGCGGGGGCCAGATGGTGAGGAGGCTCCGAGATTTGTCTTTCTGCTGCTAGATTAATTGTTTTTCAGTGTCTGCACTGTGAGACTTGTTTTGTTACTGGGTTATATCCCCTGAAGAGTTCTAAATATTTGACTCGTAAAGCTCTCATACAATCCTGTAATTAACATCTAAGTCTGGCATGGAGCAATAGTCATGTGTGATGCTTATGTCAACACAATGGCTGCAAAAAAATATTTTTTTTCTTTAGGAGAATAGACTGGCATACTGAGAATGATCCCTATCAGCTTTGCTGCTGAAATTTCAGTGAGATGCCTCTCTCGTATGGTTTTGTTAAAGGGTGCTTCAAGAGTAGCCACTTAGCGTTGTTTTATTTTTAACATTATGGCGGAGAAGGAAAGGAACAGTTTGCTCTGCTCTGTGTTTCGAATGGACCAAATGTAAGCCTTGCTAGCTTATCTTAGAAAGAAAACAATTATGTCAAATGTCCCTAAAGATCACTATAATAATGAAATAGCTCCAAATGGTAGAATGTCATTTTTATATATTTATTAATTAATGAGCTTTTGAGATGTTTGTATGTGACCGTTAATATTTGGAAACTGCAAGGCTAATCATTTAATTCTGCGTAGTCTTTTTGATAAGCTGAATTAATCGTAAACCAAGCTACAGCCCTTATTTCTCCATATTTTGCTCCCAAAGAAACCAACTTTCTTGTGATTTTTGAAAGTGGTCTCGAGCAATAGTTCTCCAGCATTTCTGAAGGATTTTCTTTGGATATTGGCTGCTTTTTAAGACATTTTCAGCCCAGCCCTTGGACCTGACCATTTTCAAAGGAATGTTTTTTGTTTTTCCAACTTAAGAAAATTACACAAGAACCAGACTCTTTTCAGCATGAATACGATCACAAAGACACAGACCATGCAAGAAGCCATACCTGGATAGAACAACATGCAATAGAACGGCATCAGTCATGAATTGGCCTCCCTAGAGCCCAGACCTCAAAATTACTGAAGTAGTTTGGGATCATTTTCATAGGAACAAAAGGCAGCCAACATCCAGAGAAAACCTTTGAATGTCCTTCAAGAATCCTGGAGAACTATTCCTGAAAACTATTTAAAGAATTGACAAGGAAGCTTGCATAAGAGCACTCAGGTTGAAGAATAAAGAGGGTGATACCAAATATTGACTTTTAAGATTGCAGAGTTTTGGCTTTGAATACAGTATTTCCATGTTTGTCTGCACATGTTTTCCTGGCAAAATATATAGAATTAAGATCTGACTTAAGACTTGTGCACAGTACTCTATATACACAAGTATTATCAGTCTTGTCATGCAACTCTTGGCAAACAAGTGAATAAGCAGATTGCAAACTTTAAAATGAGATGACAGTGCTTATTTGAATGAAAAAGAACATTCCTGTTGCAAATAAAAAGCCAACGTCACATATGTGAATTGTATTTAAAAAGACAATATATTTTCTGTCATTTTCTTTCTGCTGGTTATAGAAGTGAAAATATTTGAGCCAAAATGTTTTTGATACAACACATCCTCAGACATTTCTCTGTGGAGCTGAGCATGACTGTGACTGAGTGCTAAAACAGTTCTCTCATGTTTGCTTTGTTCTTGTTGATTCACAGGTCTCGTAACACAGCCAGAGACGGGAAAACCAGGGAGTGATTGTTTGAGGGAGTCATCTCTCCCTGTGACACTGGGCAAACTTACTATAAAACACTTCCTGTTTCCTGTGACTGGCCACCGCGGGTTTCTGACTGCTCCCTCCTGCTATCTGTCGTTGGGTCAACACGTTGTATCCACCTCCTCTCCACTGTTATCTGCCTGCTCTGTGAATTTAGCAGCACATGCTCATGCCACGGAGGTTCGGACACCTTAAAATCCCATGAATGTTTTGTTTTTTTTTGCCTCACTGGAAGTCCACTGTTTGGAGCTGCTAACTGCTTTTAATACGGGATTTCCCACATCTCTCTCCTAGACTCTAGTGCAGGAGTTCCAGGGTGAAGACGGGGTCATTACAGAACACAATGTGACGCTTCTCAGACCAGCTCGCGAGGCCGTAAAAACCGAACCGAGCGCACTCAGCTGTGAATAGGCCTTCTGCTGGAGTAAACCTCCCATATTTTTATAGACCAAAGAGCAAAACAACAAATATGATCATTATGACAGAGAGGACCATCTGGCAAAGACACACGGAAACGTTGTTAACATGCTTTGAGTGTCGCCACCGACCAACGACTGCCCCCACAGAGACTCAGTGCACAAACGAACCTTTGCAGCTGGCGGCGTATGTGCCGAACACAATCAAAGGAGTACTTTTCAAACTTTACGGACATTTTTTCGCAGACTAAGCTCACCACTGTATTTTGGAACTGGAGATATAGGTACTACATACGTATAACTGTGTATCAAAAAAAAAAAAAACAACAACAAAAAAAACAGAAAAAAAAAATCTGATTTGCATTTTTCAGTAGCTACAGTTGGGACAGCTTACAGGAAGAATTGTCGTGTTGATCATGGATACGGAGTGCAAATCATTACCAGAGAAATGATAATTATCTACAGAGAGTATTAAATGCTGTTAAGTCTGAAAAGAAGGCGTAAAGAAAAGTCATTAAATGTATTTTGAAAGGCCCTAAAAAGTTATATATTTAACAGTTTTATATGTTGTACCTTTGTAGAGAAGCTTATTGGACTTAAAATGTGATCACAATGGCAGTTTAGTAGGATGTGAACAAATGCTGTTGTTCTCATTACTGCTGGCTCGTAGTCCCAGGTTTTCTGTTCACACCTCAGTAGCCGCTTTCTTTTCATGGTCATCTACAAGTCACTATCTATCCGAACCATTAATGAAAAAAAAGGAAAGTGACACAATTTATTAAGGACTGATGTGCAGCCAACTGAACATTGTAAATCTATGGTAGTCAGTGGAAGCCATTGAAATCTGCTAATTTGCTATGATATTGTATTGTACACGGTGTGGAATACTGACTCATTTCCTCTCTATGGGTTCTGATCTCTTAATTTATTTTGTGCCTGTGTTTCTTTTTGTTTTTATTTTTTCTTTCTTTTTCTTTTTTTGCACAAATCCAGCTTCTCTCCGATGGCGATGAATACGGTGAGGAGAGAAGGAAAGAGGAAGCACTGCAGGAGTATCGGTCATTTACATACATTTTATATCATGAAATATTTTAAGAATAAATATATGACAAGAAATGTCCCCTGCAAACTTAGATGCTCTTGATGTTCAAGGTCATCAACAAGAACTTTAATTGATCTTATTCTGGTCTTTTCTAATGAATGTATTTGTTTCTGGCACCAGAGAAGGTATGAAAAAAATTAAAGTTTCCTTTTCCTTCCCAGGTGATTCAGAGGATTTATAGTTAGATTGTTTCCAGGGTAAAGTCCTAAGAAATTCAGTATAAACAACAAAGGGAGTCAAAGCCAGCTCTCGCCTGGCGTTAACATGGGTTTCAGATGAGCCAGCCAAAAGTGGACAAGTAATCACGTCTTCTGTTCACACCTCAATGTTTTTCCAAATGCTCAAGTGAGCTCTTGTGCTTGGATCTAATTTTCCTGCTCTCCAGTGTAACGCATGCTCATCATTTTTGTTTGCAAAGCCACAAAAAACCCCAAAGCAATCAGCCAAACTTTCCAGTTTTTCCAGTGTTTGTTATCTTAACTTTGCAAGTCTCCAAATATCTCTCTAAAGAACTACAGCATGTCTGAAAAATGTAGTTTATGAAACAGTTTCAGATGCTTAGACTGCAAATAAAAAGCACGCTGCTTTGTCCACCAAACTTGTCAGTCATGAGGGAAAGCTCCCATATAGCCCAGTGACCTGGCCAATCCAACAGTAGAATTTAGTCTGAGCTGATAATACAGTGTGCATTGTAAATAACTCATAGTTTCTTGTAAACATTGTTAAGTTTTTAATCAGAAGTTCAGTCACTCACTGAGGTGCTACAAGTGACTATTTATGTATTTCCATTGTTAGCTAGTTTTTTAAGACCCACACTGATTCACAACAGGTCACCACAGCAGATACATCTTTATTTAGACTTGCAATATTTTTTTTTTACACTCACATCCTCTTCCTAGCATAATCCTACCAGAGATTTATATCTTTTCCTAATATTAAACTGCAGATTTTACACACATCATGTTATTGTAAGAAAGTAAGTAAATATTTTTTTATAGCACATTTAAAACCAAAGTGCTTTATAATTTTAAAAAACAAGTGTTTCTGAAAATTTCACAACACAACAAACTATCGTTCAGCAACAGTTCAACAATCAGTTGAAGTTTCCTTCTGTTAAGAAGCTAGAGATAATTGACTAACAAGAGTATACAGTGTATTACAATGGTCCAGACTGTTATATTCCCAACCATTCTGCAACCACTAACATTGCTCTCTGGCACTAGAGCTCACCTTTCTCTGGCCTTAAGTGCTTTTAATTGCTGATGGGAGTCAGATGTGCAAAAAGAAGATGGCATTTAAGGCAGCGGGAGATAGTAGGACACACCCACATGGGCAATTTCAGGAGGAGACCCTGCTAGGCTGCTAGTCTGCCGTAACACAGACTAAATGAAAAAAAAAGTGCATGCATGAGCCTTTCCAGATCTAAAGAAGATTATAGTCTGCTCTTGACCACAGCATTGACTTGGTTGTTCAATTTCAAATTGGTGTCAATGATAATCCCAGGGTTGTTAACCTGCATTTTAATAAAACTAAAGATACCCAGTTATCTTTCAACCTCTCGGTTAATAATAGAGGGCCAAACAATATGACGTCTGTTTTGGACTTTTTATATCCAAGATGCATTGAGCCTTCACATTCAACCGTGATTTATAAGATTCAAAGGTAAATCCAGTTGCAAATCATCTGCATGGCAATGAAAAAATATGTTATCTTGATGCAGGAGCATGTACAAGGAAATAAAGAACAGGCCCACAGATAGACCCAGATTCTGAAGCAGTGACTTTCCAAAGTTAACTGCAAAAGTCGTGAGTTCCATATAAGATTAAAACCAGTTAAGCGCCAAACTCTTGACTCCTACATAGCAGAGGTGTGGACTCGAGTCACATGACTTGGTCCCACCTCTGCTACATAGTGTTCCAGGCGCTTAATGAGTAAATCGTGATCAGCAGTGTCAAATCAGAACTAAGATGTAACAACCACTAGAATCAGCATCAAGCAGAATAGCCTTTGTTGCTTTGAAAAGAACAGACTCAGAACTGTGAAAGGCCCTGAAACCTAATTGAAAGGACTCACAGATATTGTACTTGTCTAGAAAGGATGGTTGATTAAAAATGACTTTTTCTAGAACTTCAGCCAAAAGTTTTGATAGAGGGCGATAACTGCTCAGAACATTCACTTCCAAATTAGGCTTGGCTGGACTACTGCATGCTTAACACACATAGGAGCTAAGCTTGCATTTGTGAGAACATCACAGCCTTTCATGTCAAAAGTTTCTTTAACAGACCAAAATGGAAGAGAATCTTTTACCAAAGTGGAAAATGTCATGTGAGAAACCAAGTCTAAGAAATGGGAAAAGGAAACAGCTTCAAAATCCTCAGTACCCAGCTGATAAACAAAGGGATTAACTCAATAGGTTAAAGCAGTTGCTTTAATACTTTAAACCTTATTAAGAAAGAAATCCCCAAATTCTTTTTTTAATATGTATATTTCAGGATTTTTTTTAGGATTATGACTTAGGATAGAATTTGTCGTATGAAACAAAAACTTTGGTTTATGTTAACTTTTTTAAACCGAACCTGTAAAAAAAAATCCCAGCTTTGCAGATCCATCTAGAAATCTAAGAAAGCAAGGTTTTAAAATCTCCATTATACTTGGAGCTTATCCTTCCTCCATCTGACTCAGATTTCCTGACGCTCCTAACAGAATCACTCTACAAGGCCTGACTTTAAACCTACAGTAGGGCATCTAATTTTAAGCCGTGAAGCCAAGTCCGATATATATGAAAAGGATGTGCTGAAGGAAGCGGTGAGCTCTTCAACCCCAAGCTTGGAAGCAGCAGAAGACACAGAGTTAGAGCAGGCAAATGCAAAGCGAGGAAGCTGTGGTAGGGCCGTGTTTTCTGCACAAACATTCAGCAGTTCTGGAGACCACAGGATGAGAGTGTACAAGCTACCATAGCCTTGTTAGGACAGCATACATGGATATAAAGTCCAAAATCAAATGCAGTCATAAAGTATAGGAGGATAAAAGATCTGAAAATGAAAAAGGTTCAATGTTAAGAATAAGTGATTCAAATATAGTTTTTTCGTAGAGATGGATGACCATTTAAATCCTACTTCCGGTAGCCTGTGGTTAAAAAAAAAAAAAAAAAGTACAGTGTGTGAAGCATAGATCTGAGAATAAACTCAAATCATCACATCGCAGACGAAATTCTACTAAAAATAAGAAGTTCAGCGTTTGAGAAGTGAAAAAAAGTAATTTAAAATGAAGGCCTTATTTCAGAACCAACAAGACTAGCATTTGCCCAGAGCCACTTTCATTTCATTTCATTAAAAAAAGATTGAGCAGAGACTGGGGATGGATACTGCAGAGGTTGAAGACTATGATACTGAACACCTTTTCTGTATGCCACATATGGGGTGATGATTGGCCCGGGTAAACAGGCACTAAGTGAGCATGGTTTGGGGTTGAGGTTGACCTGATCCATGAATGCAGTCTGAGCCGCTGAAGCTCAGTACCTCTTGGGTACCTTCTGCTTGTGAGATATATATTAATGTTGTATATTATAATGTCATATATTAACTCTAACCTAGGTTAGAGTTAAGTCACCGGTGCTTCTAATGATAGCTTTAGACTACAGAATATTTTTGTGTGCTACCATGGACACTGTGTCAAAACCAGGTGATTATAGAGTCATGCAATGTTGCCTTTTCGCCGACTGTGAGACATAACACACCACATATTGTTCTCAGATTAATCATGCCTGCCATATTATAAGACATGTGGGATGTCATCAGGAAGGAGGCACAAACTGTCTTGTTTTACTCCAATTCACACTTCCATCTAGCTGCGCTGGCAATATCGTTTCTTCTTCGGCTTGCCATGTCTACAGTTGTACACAGCTCGGAGGTAGAAAAAACTCTGACAGAATGGTGGTATGTTCTGTGCTCATACTGGTAAATCCCCCCCAAATTCTGGTATGGCAGTCTTTCTGTAAGGATGTTGTGAGACATCCCTAATTCAGCACTGGCTTTCGTTCATTTTGAGATATAACAATGGACTGTGATGCACATTAGCCTATGCCCCATGCACTGTGGTGTCTATATTTAAATTTACACTTCATAGGCCACAGTATCACTGATATTGTGTAGCCTAAATAAAGCATAAAAAATAGTTTCAACTAACAGGAGTTTCAGCTGATCAGATGCTTACTGTGTAACTATCAAGCTGCGGGTTGATAGTTCTTTTTAAAAAATATTTAGCTCTATAAAAAATAGTGCACAGTTCAAGAACCTGTAAAAATAATTGTTTAAAGAAACATTTTTTCAAATATTGGTACCCTTAGCCTCCTAATAGATACACCTTTGGTATCAATTTCAAAATCCTAGGTGACTTCCTTCATGAGTTATGCATTCAGAAGATTTTCAGAAAGCTTGACCTCTGAGCTTGACCTGGAGGTCGTGGTTATTGATATTCAAACCTGTCTGAGAGTTTCAGTAGGTACACCTTTGGTATCAATTTGAAACTCCTACGTCCTTTCTTTCTCGAGTTATCACGTTCACAAACTTGGGTATCCACATCTCTCAAGCCAGCAGATAAAAATTAATTAGCATCTCAATCAACTGGTAGAACTTGTTTATATCAATGAAATATCTATCAGGATCCCCTTGAAACCACACTACACTACCCTTTAAAGTGCATCACAAACATCCTCTTAGTTACTGACGGTTAATTACAACCATGTTTTCAACAAGCCATCACCAACACAAAATGTAATGTGGACCATTAAAGGCTTTGACCACTTATATATACAATATATATACATCTATACACATACAGTATTTGCTGTTGAAAATGAAAGTGAAACACATGTTTGAAAAAAAAACCATTTTGAACAGTCACTTTACATTTATCATGTTGGAGGTAAGTAAGATCTCCACTGTCCCCTTTAAAACTGTTTGAGGAACCTCAAGAAAAAGTTGAGAATTTTTCTAATAATGTTAATATACAAATACAATCAGTTAACAGTTATATCATTTATTCAGCTTTAAAGACCTTTTAACATGATTGATGCAATAGGTTTTAAGAAAGACAGAAAATGTGACTTTGAGGCAATATTTGAGCGAGCAATTAACGCAATTCCAGAAAATTGCTTTGT